ATGTAATGTAAACTAGAAGAAAAACTAAGTCCATTAATCAATTATCATTTATAAATTTCTTGCACGTTGATCTTTTTACCAATTTCACGAAACACGGTGAATAACGAACCTTTTTCACGGATGCACGTGAAATAAAAATGGCAAAACATGTTGCACGAAAATAACCCTATACCACCCTCATTGTTATACATGTATTTTGATTGTGGACATTCAGCATCTCCATAAAAATAAATATAAAACTTGCAACAAGTCAATGCAATTTTGACTTGCAACAATTTTTCCCTGCAATGTTCACAAGTATTTAATTTATCAATTTTTACATTCTACAATTGTGAATTTTGATTGCAAAAACTTACAGATCAATTAAAATTTCATTTAAGTTGTTAGACTTTCTCCTCCTTTAAGTCTTATTTTTATTTAAATTTTGACTATGTAGATAGGGTAGTGCATCAATAAAAACTCATACAAACTAAATCAATGCAGACATTTTTATATCAGTGTTCAACAGGGTTCACTGTAATATTTGCCACTGAATGATAAAATTCCCTGAATTAAACAATCATTACTTGGGTTATGATTGACCTGCTGAATGTAGTGTGGTGTGGTACATGTATGGTATGGACACAATGGGTTTTTGCTAAATTTGTCATGGCAGTTGATACTATTGAGATAAATATAGCGATCAAAAATTTTATTAGACATATAATGTATGTAAAATAGAAAATATGCAGTGAACAAAAGACAATGCTAAGATTCAGAAAAAATATATGATACAATTTAAAGTGATACAATATATATAGAAATCAATTTACGTTCATACAATGTATTAGGAATTTTTAAGTGAGCTGTTTCATATATTCAAAGCATACATAAAATTAACACATACTCGAAAGGTTTTCAACTTCCAATCATATTGTTATTGTCAATGACAGATATGTACTAAAAATTATGTAATAAATTTTTCTGAAAGATTTTAACATTTACTTAAAAAATATATATCTCTGAACTTACTTTTTTTTTTAGGAATATGATTTTTTTTTATATAATTTTCATACCAATAAATGTCAAGGAAAAAAATTATTCTTTGGTGAAAAAGACAAAAAGATATTGAAAATATTTTGGTTGTGTTAATTTTGATAACCTTCAGAAAATATGAGGAAAAATTGGTCCAATTTATTTTTTATATTTCACAAAAAACTGTTAGTTTTGCATTAACATCCAGTTTATCTTCTCATGAATGACCTCACTGTGTAAAAACTATCCTCTCTGGTCAATTTATATCAGATGTTTTATTCATCAACTAGTCTATTATAATCTTGTGAAGTTCTACAAATGTTATCTACAATGTTAAATTCCCAGAAATAAATTCTCAGATTCTCCTTCATGTTTGCAAATATTTAATCTTACAAGATAAGCATGATATATAAGCACAATATCAAAGATGGCAGCATTGATAATTCAGCAGTGAACATCTACCTGAAGAGTGAATAATGTTTTTTATAATATAATACAACTAAAAAATTAATGGAATATTTCAAATTATTACATGCAAGGCCAATATGCTAAATTAAGCCGTATTGGGATGCTCATATGGGAACATAGCAAAGGAATATCCTCATGTCACATGACAAATAGGAATGTTGTAGGATTCATGTATTTAACTATGTATTTTGCATATTTCACACTTCACATAAAGACCAGAACTTGATAATTTTTGTTTGATTAACCGTGACCTTGACCTTCTATTTAAGGACCTCAAAATTTCTTGTGATGTCCCATTATACTTCATTCCTGCCAATTTTATTTCACAAAAGATAAACAATCTCATAGGGTTTCATTGGGATCTAAATGCAACAAATCAGAGCTCCAGATAAGTTGCGTATTTGCGTGATCACGCAATACAAATAATTAAAAAACCAATGCAATTGCCCATTGCAGGGTTCAATAACCCAATTAATTCAAAGAAAAACCCAATTATATGCCAAAACAATGAGTTCTTAAAACGCTTTTGTTCGCTATCGTTTGCGTTATTTACCCTCATCTGATTACAGTCGTCACGTAAATCTATTTTTATAATATTTATAATTGGAAATGTGGGGGGGGTAGGAGGGGTCCTGATCCCTAAATCCAGGGCTTAAAAACATGGAATCCCGAGGTCCCGAATTTAAAAAAATTTAAATCCAGACATCCCGAGCTTAAAAACACCCGATCCCGGAGTTCCGATAAAGGTCCTACCCCCCCCCCCCCCCCCAAATGTCCTTTCGTTCTTAAAATAGAGCCCTGCATCAAGTAGCTGTAATGGGTCCCTGTTGGAATTTTCCGTTGCTCAAAAGGTACACATGTTTATGAAAACATTTCGATCTTCTCGGCGTTTATCCAATTAGTGTGTGACATGCTGTCATATTTTTTCGAATTGCTCGGGATTTATCATAACATACAATGAATTAAAACGGATAAAAATATTGAATAGAAGCATGTTTTCGGCTGCTTTTTGATAGCTGAGGGAAAGTTATGATGATAACAAGGCTCAGCTAGTGATTTTAGGAAGCGTCCATTGAACGCACGGGCGTGTTTGCATACCTTAACGAGAACATTGCTATAGAACGATAAACACGGGGTTTTGTCAAAAACGAAATCAGTTGGAAAAAGTGAAAGGCCAAATCAATTATGACATGATATGTAGTTTGAAAGCATCTGAAACCAAAAGTTCTGATAAGGGACAACTTAACCCAGATTTATGTAAATTGAATTAAACAAAAACAGTTTATATATTATTTTTTTCATTTTAGTTGATGAATGAATACACATATCCGTTTTTTACGTCAAATTATGCAGCTTGACACTTTCTTTGTTTTGGTCTAATTGTTCTGGATGCTTAAGATAGTTGTCTTATTGGCAAGTGCAGCATAACATTGTCATTTATTTACTTGATGTTGCAGAATTATTTGTAAATTTAAGTTGAATGTGGTCTCCATCATTAAACCACCCTATAAATCTCAAGGTTTTGGGGTATATCCAGGGCTGCCAAGTCTCACGCACTTGCGCATTTTCATGCTTATTTGGCGGCATTTTCCTTTGATCTATTGTTTTTTCTCTTTGATCTTTACAATTTTGGCCAAATCTCACGCATTTGCATTATTAAAAGTTGGCAGAACTGGCATATCTTAAATCTGGGAACTACTTTTTATTTTTATTAAAAAGTAGATCTGGCAAATAGGTGAAAGGACTGGCAAAACTTTCTTACAGCACCTAAATTTCACATATATTACATAAAAATCTAAACACTTAGCCACACCTACCCCAACTATAAACTGTAGGGTGATCATATGGGATCTAGAAAGGCAATTAGTTACTGTTTAAACGTTTAAAACGGGACACAAATTAAACGTACAATTGCTCGTCAGTGAATAAACCAAATAAAACAGCTAAGCACATATACAAAGAAAGAAACACATTTAAGATGGAAACACATCTGGGGTTGATATAATATGATTATAACATGCCTAAATATTCAATATTGTGTTGATGAAAAAACCCAATACATTAAGGAGCTTGGTGGTGAAAAACCCAATTTGATATTTGCTTGAGGGGTGAATTGGAATTGATAATGCAATTAAAAAACATTATCACCCAATTACATAAAAAAAATGGTGGGTAAAAACCCCAATTTGTGAATTCTTATCTGGAGCTCTGACAAATGCTTCCATGTTTGACCAATCAACACTAAATGAGATTAGTTTGCACAGGGTCTCCACGTCTCCATATCACCAATCCTATTAATGTTCAAAATATTTTGCCCGGTAGTTTCAGGGAAGAAAACTTGAATATTGGCCAATCAGAATAGAAAATTGCCTCTTTGACAATGTTGTTCATCAAAATAGAACATCATTCCTGCCAAATTAATTCAAATAGCTCTAGAGAAGATAAAAATATGATTTGAGTTTAAATGGGAAATATATGCTCCCATAATTGTCACCTGATCAACATTAAATGGGGAAAGTTTGGTAAAGTCCCCCAATCATCAATCCTGTAAAGATATAAAATGTTTTAATCTTGGAGTTACAGAGAATATTTTTTTTAGAATTGGCCACCCAGAATAAAATTTGTCTTCTTGCGGACATGATTGTCCAATCACATAAGCATTATTTGTAAAGAACTTTCCAAACATCATTCTTGCTAAGTTTGGTTAAATTGGTCAAGTGGTTTAGAGGAGAATGTGAAAATATGAAAAGGACAACAGACGACATATATGATATTAGTGCAACCAAAACAAACATGGTGCATCAGTCCTGTACTAAACAGATATGCATGAGTCAAGTGTTTAACAATAATATATAAATATGGAGAAGTGGTATGATTGCCAACTATTCATCAGAGTCAAAATGATGTGGATGTAAACACTATAGGTAAACAAACAGCCTTCAACAATGAGAAAAACCCATACCTTAAGTAGCTACTAAAGGCCCAGACATGACAAAATGTGAATCAATTTATACGAGAAAACCAACGAATAAGTCAGCTGTCAGATAGATGTGCATGAGCCATGTATTGAACAGATGTGCATGAGTCAAGTGTTTAATAGATGTGCATGAGTCAGGCGTTAATTGGATGTGCATGAGTCAAAGTGTTCAACAGATGTGCCTGTGTCAAGTGTTCAATAGATATGCATGAGTCTGGTGTTAAACAGATGTGCATGAGTCAGGTGTTAAACAGATGAACATGAGTAAGGTGTTAAACGGATGTGCATGAGTCAAGTATTCAATAGATGTGCATGAGTCAGGTCTTAAATAGGTGTGCATGAGTCAGGTGTTAAACAGGTGTGCATGAGTCAGGTCTTAAATAGGTGTGCATGAGTCAGGTCTTAAATAGGTGTGCATGAGTCAGGTCTTAAATAGGTGTGCATGAGTCAAGTGTTAAACAGATGTGCTTGAGTCAAGTGTTTAATAGATATGCATGAGTCAAGTGTTCAATAGGTGTACATGAGTCAAGTGTTTAATAGATATGCATGCATAAGAGCATGAGAAGATCCACATTATTTAATGTATGCTAGACCCAAGAAATTTGGCATAACCATATTTTTCTTCATATAACATAGCTGTATAATATACTAGACTGGAAGCCAATATTACAATAGCAAAAAGATCCATCAAACTTTACTTTGATCACACATAATATTCTCCATCTTATATCACTAGTGATACAGCAGTTTTATAAGCATAAAAATAACCAAAAAACAATTCTGTTCATCTTAATTCTCATGTCTTTGTCAGCGAGCTTCCAGAAAGGAACATCAATTCTTAATGTGCTGCATTGAATGTCTGCAAAAAATCTTATGTCTGAAGAAAATTCAAGCTAATGCTCTGAAAAGTGAGCATAATAACACTAAGCAGATACTCTCTGTTATCTGTGAGGAGCTGACAAAGCTTCCACTATCCAAGGGTCAGATTTGGAACCTTCTCTAAACTCATCTTTAGTTAGTCTACCATCTTTATTCTGAAAAGCAAAACAAAAAAGTTTGATTATATTTCTTATTGTAGTTGTCTCCCCTTGCATATACTACAATTCTCAAATTATGGATCGGCTTCAAAGTAACAACACTCGGTCAGCACCTCATAAGGAACATTCATGCCATGTTTGGTTTCATTCCATCCAGTGGTTCTCTAAAAGAAGACATTTGTATGTATTTCCCATAAGGTCCTATGTTAAACTAAGTACCCGCTGTCAGCCATCTTGGATAATGGACCAACTGCAAAGTAACAACACTTGGTCAGCACCTCATAAGGAACATTCATGCCATGTTTGGTTACATTCCATTCAGTGGTTCTCTAGGAGAAGTTCAAAATGTAAAAAGTTAATGACGGCGACTACGGACGCCAAGTGATGAGAATAGCTCACTTGGCCCTTTGGGCCAGGTGAGCTAAAAATGAGGTCAAGGACATGGACATATGACAAATGGAAACTTCGTAACATAAGGAATCTAGATACAAGGTGTGAAGCATCCAGGTTATCTACCTTCTGAAATATAAAGCTTTATACAAGTAGTTTACACTGCCACTGCAGCCGCCGAATAGTAATACCTATGTCTTGCATACTGCAACTTTCATCACAGGCAAAACAAAAACATTGTGATTACAATGAAATATAATCAGGTGTCTATGTCAGCTTAACTGTGCTTTCTCATTTTGTTAGGCATTTATATATATGATCATAAACAAATTTTGCAATTGATTTCATAATTATTGCTGAATTTGTGATTTAATGTAAATAATGTATTTTTACTAACAAAAAAGAAATATTAAATTGTTGCATTTTCATCTATCTCTGCTAATTTTGTTTGATAATCATTTCTTATTTTCTTGTAATGTCTACATTGAAATAGTAAATGCAACTCATCTCCGATGTCACTTGTCTTGCATAGTTCATGATAGTTATACATACATGTACATATATGTTGTATACAAATTGTAATGTTGTACAAATTATAATTTATACAGAATTTTTGTACAAGTTATCAGTGTTTTATGCACCGCTTAACACAAACGAATGATACAAGCACACAGTCTTTTGTTTCGCATATTTCTGTCATATTTCCATGACTTCATGGCACATTCTAATACTGAGCATTGCTACAAAAAACATTATAAGAACACAAAAAGACTTTTTATGGATATGATTTTGGTATAAGGAGAAAAATAAAAATAGAATTTAAACCATTCAGGTGTCCTTATTTCCAGCTTTAGGACAAGGAGAATAGCACTAAATGTTAGGTTGAAGTATATAAATTTGAATTTAAGACATAAAGCTGATAAATTTTAGAAGATAAACTTTTATCACCTGGTGCAAAAAGGTATGTGTCAAAAAACTTATAACTTGTACAAAAACCCTGTACAAATTATAATTTGTACAAACTTACATCTTGTACACAACATATATATCTCAATTGCAATCATATCACATCTCTTCATTTTTATTTTCAAGGAACAAACATATACACGAAATGAAAAAAATATGTTTGCAAATGACTGTAACAGAAATTCATGCACTATCAGAGTGGATCGATATTTATAACTTGTCAAAACATTACAATTTCCCCTTTCGTTGCTAGAACAGAAATTCTTAAATGAAAAAAAAGAACTTGAAAGGTGACCCGTAATTGTTTACTTCTTTGTCCTTTGGTCTTTATGAATAGTTATCTCATTGGTAATCATACAATATCTCTTTATTTTCATATTTAAGGAGAATGAGTGACACACAGTATGTTAAAAAATATCCTGGAATTGCAACTGTCCATCATTGTTAACTAAAACCTTGATTATAAATATTTAATACAGAATTTATAGATGTCCCCTTACAATGATTACATCGATTACACAGAGATGTTATTCCTCACGAAGATAATTCTAACAATTACAGTATAGAAATCATCTAATGGTCTGTACATCATTAGACAACTTAAGGTAATGGATCATTAGTAATTTAACCTTGTCAGGGATATACTACAATCAATCAGAATCCAGACATGGAAATGGAATTTTGTCAGCTTTATTTAAAATTTTGGAAGATTATTGATGTAGGCTTTTAGAGCTACACATATTTTGCCATCAGATTACTATTTATAAAAAATAAACTTTCAACGGAGAGATATATCTCCTCTGTGTAACATGTAATCACAATCTTAACACTTGATGGGGAAAAACACAGATAGGACTTTCTTCTGCAAAAACTCATTTTACATAGTGTTTGATCACTAAATGTGGTTGTGCTTTTCAAAATAAATGAGTAAAAAGTTTTACTGATATATAAATGTGTCCTGTCATCCAGAAATTTTGTTGAAATATTTCTCAGCTGGACTAAGAATTTTTTTTAATGTGATAAATTAATTCCATGCTGGAAAAAATATCATAATAAAAATAAAAATGTGCGATACTTTGATGCAAGTAGTCTAATCTATTTTAATACAGCATCTTTTTTTATGACAAAAGGGGTGTAACTCCTCCCCCTTTCCCCATCCTTTTTCCTCCCCTTTCGTGAATTCCCAAAGTTGGCATCTTGATCTACATGATCATATAATTTTTCCTCTATACATACCACATCCATCTGAGCAAAAATCTTCTCAACACGTTTCAGTGGTGTGTCTTCCTCTTCTGGAAGATCTATCAAATTACCAACCATACTATAAATAGCATCAACTATGTTGACCATCTCTTCCTTGGTAATATAACCATCATTGTCAAGGTCATACAAACTGAAAGCCCCTACAAAATACACAATTTTTATATTTCTACTAAATTTATTAACATGTTTTATAGACATAAGACAATTTAAAGCTTGAGATATGTCAATCGTTGAAGACTGTATGTTGCTCTCTAGATGTCTTTTGGTTATTTTTGTTGTTGGATAGCGGTCTCATTGACATATACTCCATATCTCCTTTTATTTATAACCGCCATGGTGGTCTCATGGTAGCATTGTTTGCCTTAAGTGTGGCAGGTCTTTGGTTTGAAACCCTGGTCAAACCAAAGCCTTCGACTGGAAAATTGATACTCTAAGCAAGCAGCATTAAGGAATAAGGGCAAAGACTAGTACTACTGGTATGGTCGGACTCAGAATAATGTGTCCAGGTAAAATGACATGTCTACCTTGTGATCAACTATCAGTTTAAAATCCTGCTCAGCGTGTCAGTCTAGTACAAAGCAGGGTTCATATTCATATCTAATTAACATGTTCTCGCCCTGAATTTGTATTTATTTGCCACTGGACTTTAAACAGCCATCCATCAATCCATCTTTTTATTCATCAAAAAACATTTCATTGATAGCATTACTTGAGTTCCCCCAATCAGAGCATATATCACTACTTTTGTTGTAATTCAAATCTACATCTTTTATTTGTTTGCATTTTGTTTTCATTCAACTTTGCCTTAGAATAGAAATACTTTGAACAATGTTAAATATATTTCTGAGAACAATAAGCCCTAGTTAATTTCACTAGAAAATAAATCAATATATCAAATAAAACAATATAATAAACTTTTGACACAGAGATATGTCTCGCCTATCAGCATTACATTCAGAATAAGACAATCTGATGGACAGCAACATTGCTAATTTATTCCAGGTCGCTGGACCATGAAGTTGTGGGTAGGGCCTCGTAAAGGTTAACAAACTGAGATGTACAGACAGTAATGTAACTTTATAGAAAATATTGTTGTCTATTGCAAGTAGTTCCTATCAAACTGACTTTAGCAGAAAACTTAACATTTAAAATTGCCAATTAATTCAGTCACTGGACCATGACCTAGTGAGCAGGGACTCAAAATAGTCATCAAACTGATATGTACTGATAGTAATGCAACTTCATCCAAAATATCATTGATCTATCACAAGTAGTTCCTATCAAACTTACTTAAGCAGAAACAAGAATGTGTCCATAGTACACGGATGCCCCACTCGCACTATCATTTTCTATGTTCAGTGGATTGTGAAATTGTGGTCAAAACTTCAATTTGGCATTAAAATTAGAAAGATCATATCATAGGGAACACATGTACTAAATTTCAAGTTGATTGGACTTCAACTTCATCAAAAACTTTAACCTGACACTGGACAGACAGACGAACGGATGGAAGCAAAGATCAGAAAACATAATGCCCCTACTACTATCGTAGGCTTGGCATAAAAAATGTTAAAAATTATCGTTAAAGGGCAATAACTCCAATAATGAGGCGACTGCAAATTTCAGCCATATGGGTTATTTGTGGATCTTGTCTTGCTGATCATTTGTGCAACATAAAGTTTCTATCTATCTATTACAGTTTTCAAGATAATTGGCAAAAATGGGGAAAATTGTCATTTAAGGGCAATAACTTCAACAAGGAGTCGATTAACAATTTTGGTCACGTTTGACTTATTGGTAGACCTTGTCTTGCTGATCATTTTTGCTGTTAAAATTTCCTATCTATTTTATATAGTTTTAAAGATTATTATTAGGCAAAACACAAAAAAATTGTAGAAATCGTCATTATAGGGCAATCACTCTAACAAGGAGTCAACTGAAGAATTTGGCCATGTTGACTTATTAGTAGATCTTGTCTTGCTGATCATTTTTGCTATTCAAAGTTTCTGTCTATCTACCATAATTTTAGATAATAATAAAAATGGTAAAATTCATCATCTTAGGGCGATAACTCCTAAAAGAAGTTGTCTGACAGTTTTGATGTAAATAAACAAGAGGCTCTCAAGAGCCTGAATCGCTCACCTGTATTTCAGAGGAGAAGATTTTTAAATGTTAGCAAACTTGATGAACAAATTGTCTTTAAAGGGCAATAACTCCTTAAGGGGTCAATTGACAATTATGGTCATATTAACTTTTTTGTAGATCTTACTTTGCTGAACATTACTGCTGCTTACAGTTTATATATATCTATAATAATATTCAAAATAATAACAAAAAACTGCAAAATTTTGTAAAAAACTACCAATTCAGTGGCAGCAACCCAACAATGGGTTGTTCGATTTGTCTGAAAATTTCAGAGCTGATAGATGACCAATTGAACAATTTTACCCCATGTCAGATTTACTCTAAAAGCTTTAGTTTTTGAGATATAAGCCAAAAACTGAATTTGACCCCTATGTTCTATTTTTAGCCATGGCGGCCATGTTTGTCGATGGATCAAAACTTAGGATACAATTTATAAACTAAATACCCTAAGGAACATTTAGTTAAAGTTTGAAGGTATTTGGCCGAGTAGTTTCAGAGGAGAAGATTTTTTAAATAGTTTACGACGGACGCCAAGTGATGGCATAAGCTCACATGGGGCCCTTCGGCCCCGGTGAGCTAAAAATAGGTAGAGCTCAACATTCTGAACATTTTTGCTCATGTCAGATTTTCTCTATTCATAGTGGTTTTCAAAATAATATGGAAAATTTCTATTTTTAGCCATGGCGGCCATCTTGGTTGACAGGTGGGTCATCAGACACAATTTTTAAACTAAATACCCTCATGATGATTGTGGCCAAGTTTGGTTGAATTTGGCCCAGCAGTTTCAGTGGAAAAGATTTTAGTAAAAGTTAACAGACGACGACTGACGCCAAGTGATTAGGAAAGCTCACTTCCCCTTTTAGGACAAACTATAAAAAATCAGTTGAAAAGGGCTTAACTCATCAGATCCATACAAAGCAGAAAAATATCTGACAAAAACACAGACAGGACGTGGCATGGTCACAAAGTACAGATCTGAGAGTATGTAGCAGTTACTGACAGCTAGTTCAAAGCCAATAACAATTAATAAAAAAAATCATGTATCTTAACGACTAAAATGTCTATTTTCCTGAAGAAAAAAAAACCAACATATCTGTTACTAAGAACAAAGCATACATAGTATCAAACTGAAAATCTCTGTTGTAGTCCTAAGGCAGTCAATTATATTTTCTATTTGAAATGGAAGAAAATCTATTATGAAATGTCTGTACCTTAATTGTGTTTTAAGATGTACATAATTTTACCAGTGGCTAAATATCTGTTGTAATGACATAGTCAATATAAACATACTAATAGCATCTTTTGCAATTTCAAACATAGTGCAATTGGCAATATTTGTTGAAAAAAAACCAAATCAATTAATCATACAGTATAATACATTTCATACAATTTTTTATTTATATTTGAAATTATCTTTGAAAAGAGAACAAACTGCAAAGTGTCCTTAAAGTAAAAAGATAAATTTGTTTGTTTTTAATTCATATCTCTTAATTTTATTGATTTTATTGATTTTATGGGATATGACTATACAATAAAAAAAAATAATATGAACTGAAAACTGAAAATTCCATATAATTATATTTATCACTATTTTTTGCCTTGATCTTTATTGTGATTATTTTCTCCTTATAGTGGCAATAACGTCATAAGCCAATGTCAGAAAACCGAAAGTTATGTAAAACTCGAACTGCCTATAAAAGTGATATATTGACGGCTGCTGAAACTCATCCTACATTCATAATGATGATATACAAGACACTACAACATCTAAGCTAGATGGTCCCATTAGGATTGACATATAAGGAATTTCATTCTAAAAGTTGATACTTCTTAATTTCTGAATACTCCTCGAATAACTTCATAAAATACATCATCTGAACATTTATCAGAGCTTTGTCCACACAGGTTGATTTACAAATTATGTAATGGAAAGTTTAATCAATAACAATTTCTTTCAGGAGTAAACAACTAGCATGAAAGAAAAGCCCAAAATTCTCCAATCTTTTACTTTATGGATAACAACCTATAAGGGTAACACTTAATGCCCCTGTTGCCTACGGTGGGGGCATAATAAAATTGACTTGCCATTAGTGATTCATCCAAAACTGACCTAATCACAAACTTTAACATGTAAACTGCAAAGTTTCAAAAATCAATAAATCATGACTGAGGAGGTGAGGCCAAATAATCTTCATGGAAATGAAATGTGCCAATGCTGATACAACTGCATACCAAATATCACTGACTTACATTTAGTTGTTTCATATAAACTGACCAAATCACAACTTTAACAAATTGTTGACACTACTGGAAACAGCACACCTTCACCACTTCATCCAGGCGAGACAAAAAACCTAGTCCTAACCTAAAACAAACACCTAACCATACCAAACCATAGCTCTATAAAGTGAAGGGACCCCTAAAGTAAAAGAAGGCCCCTGTTTTTTTTTAACCATTTTACACTAATCATTCAAATACAGCAAATATGTGTAACATAAGTATATTAATCCTTTGGCAACAAAAGTTCATTATCTGAGTAAGCTGATGTAGAAAAATATTAAGATAAAAACATATTCCTTCAAGAAATCAACTACTTTTAGAAAGTTATTGATTGACTTTTAATTTTCTCTGATTAAAGCAGGAATTATCTTCCACGCATTGCAAGGATTATGGAGAAAAACATTGGTGATAATGATGTTTTATTGTATTGATGAGGTCGCTGAAATGAACAAGGACAGTGTAATCAGGTGTAAAAGAAGATTTTATGACACTTCAGCATCACGACTTTCATCATTACTGATCTTCTCATCAAATCAAATGTTAAAAGGCAAGAATTTTTTTTTACAAGTTTTAATGACAATAACAAAAAAACCTTTCAATTTCCTCCGGGAATATAAAATTTTCATGTTGATCTTCATTCTATGTTCTTTTCTACTTATAAAAAAAGTTCTATAAAAACTTACTTACTTACTCCTTCACTTAGTGTCAAGTTGCCACAAAAAATTGACCTTTTTTCTCATTTTTCTTTCCCAAAGATGTGGAAAAGTTCTGTTGACCATAAATTTACTTGACTTTGTAAACGTTTATTTACTCAACATAAGTGTCCAATTATTATAAATTTAAAAAAAAAACAACAAAAAATCAATTTGAAATATGATAAAGGTGTTTTTTAAGTATAAAGAGTAATGTTTAAAAAACATGTCATAAACCATCAACACTTAAATCTATTACCCTGAGTATACATATAGTTTTTGCCTGGGCTGGGAAGTTATATTAGTGTCTTAATCTAATTTTCTGACCGATAATGGATCCAGGAAATGAAATTTTCACACTCCATTCTATCAAATATGTAGTAATGGGAACAGTTATTAGTTTCTATAGAGTCGACAATCAGATCGTGTTAGACAACTAATTTTGTGGTCATATACAAATGGTCGGCTACGATTTTTACATGGATAATCACAGTATATAATCATTAATCCAAAATAGCAAGCTGTAAATAAATGAAGTTTTAACATGGAAAATACTTCATGTAGAATATCTATAGCAAATGATGTAACATCCAAGTATTTTCTATTATTATGCCTTTTTTTTATTTGTTCATGTGCTAGCATGTGTTTTGCCTCTTTCACTAACTGTTTTCAGTTATAATTGGAACTTTAAACTATAGATTTTATTCTAAAAGGTTCTTATTTGGCAATATTTTAAATTGTATATGAAGGTAATTTTTTTTTTACAGATGAGCCTTTTTCACTTCAGTTGATTAAGGATGTAGTTAGGTGAAATGAAAAAAACCTAGAATTTAAAATTGATACTATAAGTCAGAAGAGCATTAGTAAAGGAACAAAATAAGCTAAAAATATTGAAAGGTTATGGAACTTTTTTGAAAAATTGCGGGAAATTAGGCCGACTCAGACTTTTACATTATATTTAGCATAGGCATTATTTGGGTATCAAATCATAGGAAAAAAAATCTAAAATCTGCATAAATTTTGGTAATGACCTTTTTATGAGCTATTGAAGTCTTCTATGAAAAGAAAAGCGGGTGATGTGGAGCAAAATATTTTATCCTGTATCGTTGGAAAAAACTAAAGAAGTCTGAACATCTGACAAAAATTCATAAACCTGACCTAAGTACATCCTTAATACATAAATCATTTGACATTAAATATTTAATTTCTATTGACTTTAACAGATACATTTTGAAAGTTTTATTCAATAAATATATATTCCTCCATATACAATTTATGATGTCAGTCAGCCTATCACAATGGCAATTGAAGGTCTGGTCTACCTCTGGCCATTTGTACTCCATCTTTTGGTATTAGTTATATGATTTGCTTGATTATGATCTGCAATATTATAACAACTACTATCTAAGTTTATGACCTCTGTAGATATATATGTATGTCTTTTCAACATTTGGTTATTTGTCTAATGTTAAATTGTTCTCTCATTTATGTATTACCTCAGATCTCCTTTAATTTATATATAATGGGATTAAAGGGGCATTAGCTGTCAAATTCATGTTCACCGATTAGACTCAAATTCTCATATTTTGATTTATAACATACTAAAACTTATGTCAAAATTACAATAAGTCTGAAATAAACAGTTAACAATGCATGTACTTGATAATTTTATCCGAATTTCGTGTGTATTTTAGTCTAGACTCCATCTAATTAACTATCGAGATGACCTCCTAATACTGCCGTTGGTCGCATAACCCGAAATAAACATAAACATAAATATAAATAGATTGCTACCTCGTGCAATTGGATTTTTATAGGTCTGTTTGATTTCATGTTATAGGTTAAAAAGTAAGCTAATTAACATTTTTACCTGTATAAGAATGATTTTTTGTGGATCGACATGATCGAATCAGTCAACTAAATGGTTCACCTTTGTTTCACTTTCAATGTTGACATTCTTTTCCTTTTAATGGCTGAACACGACTTATGCATGCGTAAACAGTCTCTAGCTAATGGGTTAAATTGAAGGTCACATGAATACAGATTTAATGAGGTCGAATTATTCACTTGCAAGTGAATAATTCATCAGCGATATTTCTTTGCTTATTTTGACAAAATTATACCAAATTGGCTGCTAAAAACGAATTATTATTTCATTATTTCACTTTTATTAATCATTGAACCAAATGAAATCATATTCTAATTTTTTTCATATCTCGTAGTTAGTGCCCCTTTAAATACAGTCAAATATTGATGCAGAATGCCATTAAAAGTAACAAAGATTCTGAAAGTCTCAGTGGAATTCTGTGGCTGTTTTATGAAGAGTTATACAGACAAACAGTCTAGATGGACAAATGCACCAATGAACATATGTACGAATTGAAAGATGGACACATGAATTAATGTACACAATAAACTGTGGTTCAGCTGATGATGAAACACCATTTTTTTGCATAAACCAGAATATCATAGTGTAAATGAAATCTAGTTGATCCGACTAGGGCCCTCAATGGTGTACATACCTAATTCTAACAATCAAGTTCCTTAAATGACCCTACCTTATTATGTATATCTAATACTTACAGTAAAGTTTCTCCTCTACTGAACCATAGACTAACAACCTCAGGAGTATATCAAATAGTCTGTCTGAGTCAAGTTTCTCTTCTAGTTAACCTCTGACTAATCTTATATGGAGTATATATAATACTTACAGTCAAATTTCTCCTCTGACTAAATGGTCTATGGAGTATATCTAATATTTACAGTCAAGCTGTTTTCCTCTACTGAACCTCTGACTGATGGTTAATGGAGTATATCTAATACTTACAGTCAAGTTTCTCCTTTAATGAACCTCTGACTAATCATCTATGGAGTATCTTTGATACTTATAGTAAAGTTTCTCCTCAAGTATCTGCTCTCATGTACCTCTGACTAACATCGTCATGAGTATTTCGAAAACTTGACTAAGTATTTGAAATACTCATGACTAACACCGTCATGAGTATTTCGAATACTTAGTCAAGTTTCTCCTCCAATGAACCTCTGACTAACGCCCTCATGAGTATATCTAATACTTACAGTCAAGTATCTACTCCAATGAACCTCTGACTTAAACACCCTCATGAGTATATCTCATACTTAGTTAAGCTTCTACTTTAATGAACCTCAGACTCACACCCCCAGGAAGATATCTTATACTTACAGTCAAGTTTCTCCTCTAGTGAACCCCTGGATGTTATGGACAAAGCAGTAATAAATTCTCTGAATGATATATAACCATCCTGTAGAGTAAATAAATATGAAGTATATTTTGTTATTGTTTAATCAGTAATACTTGTCACTGATGGATGAGTATAATGGGTTATGCCATACTAATGTCTGAATAATGAGTTTGGTTTTCACCAAGGACAAAATATGATACTCTTGTGACTAAATATTTGCTGAAAAAAATAAACTATCATGTTAATTGAAGGAAAAAAGTAGCTAAAGCCTAAAAGAAACTTTAACTCAAGCCATTTTTGGATGCAAAAGCAAATTTCTAGGTCTGTTAATTAAAATGAAAAGAAATTAGATAAGGAAAACCTGCTTTGAAACATCAAAAATATAAGTACAATGTACAAACATGTTCAAACTTGTCACATTCTGTATGGTATGTGCCTGTCCAAAGTCTCCGTGTGGAAGGCCTTACTGTGACTTTGATATGAAGAACAGCAATAAAAGCGCTGTTCCTTTGCTTTGTGTGTGTTTTTTGTTGTGCATGTACTAATTTTGTGTCATGGACCGTTACCCCATATCCTTTGTTTTTCTATTATTTGGTATGAGTTTTGCTTATAGTTAAAGGTCTTCACAATCATTTGGTCTCTGGTTGAGACTTGTCTCATTGACAGTCATACCACATCTTCTTAGAATTATATTATATGAATTGTAATGCTTATATGTATATATGTTTATCAATAATTTAACCAGCTAATTCTAGAGTGCATTTGCAAACTTTGAAAGTAATTTTGTATTTAGACCTATAATCAGTTACTAATTTTACCATCTCTTATCTTGTGTAACCAGGACATTATCATCACTGTCATCGGTTTACCATAAATACATTTGTATTTGCCATAGGAGGGTTTGGGTAAGTTTGTCATCATGAAATTTCATGACAATTCCTATATTGCTAACAAGTTCTATATCCAATAAAAAAACATATAAAATATTTCACAGTTTAATTATAACATAATTTAGGAATTTCTCTTGTTACTGCAATGCTGTCGCCTGGTATATCTCTAAAACAGGGTAGATTTAAGGGGCACTTCCCCCTTCATGACAGAAAATTTGTGTTTTCTCCCCCTTTGTTCCTTCATTTTTGGTGGGCCCTTTTAGGTCCCCACCATCTTGAAAATTCCTGAATCCACAACTTCTTATATTTCTGAAAAACATTATAAGATATCACAATGCATTAACATTGACTTACCTTATTTGCATCAAAAACATTGAAAACAAAGTTTGCAAATTTGCTAGGATCCCCATTTGGAAAGAACTGCTTGTAAATTGTCTGAAATTCCTGTAAAAAAATAACATAAGCTTTATAAAAAATCTCTCTTGTGTCCACCTTGTGTCACACTGTGTTAAGGTCAAGGAACACTAAATGGGCTATGTCACAGATTTTGCTAAAATTTTGCATACAACTTTCGCTCGTTGAAATATAACTGAAAACGTCAAACTGTGACATATCGGGAAATGATCATTTTTATTAGCTTGAAAAACAAGTACATGGACCCCTCTTTTCAAAATGACATTTGACTTGATAATGTATGAAGATTATGAAAAAATCACCAATGATTTTTTTTTAAATTAGATAAATATGCAGCAAAAAATGCTGTTTTTTCTAGAATCATGAAAATTCAATCAAAATTATTTACAAAGAATTATTACACAAATTAAGAGCATAACTTTGTAAAGAAGATATTCCAAATCTTTTTACAAAAATCTGTATGTTTATCTTTTGAAACAAAAAAGTTAAGTATGTCTGTCCGAAGAATAGAAATGTGCAAGAAACTGAAATTTTAAGTAAATGGCTGAAATTTCGACCCCATTTATCTCTAAATTTACCACATGAAGGTATATTTTTAAATGCATATTTGAATTGTTTAAGCAAAAAATAGTTTGTATGCAAATTTTCATAAAAAAATCACTGTGGAATCAAAACTGTATCGTATGCCCTTAAGTGGTTCTTTGCACTGTTTTAAAAGATCCACAGATTCTGTTACAGAATTTTCCAGTTATCAAAAACATGAATTTTGCTATTTGAAAAATTATCAAGGGACATTACTATTGAAGTGTAAAATGTAAATTTGACCAGTGTTTCATGGTTCCTGGTTTTTTGTATTTGTGTCAAAAGATTTTTTTAGAGCAAACTCTATTGAAAACAATAATAAAAATAAATAAATCATCAACTTAAACTGCTACAAAAACCTATCACATTTCCATGTAAAGTAAACTGCAAAATTTCTGGGTAAAACTCTTATTTGGCATTCAATATATAAAGTTCACATCATAATAGAATGTGTACTAAGTCTTAGTTGATATGACCACAACTTCATGGAAAACCACATTAAACAGAAACGTTAACCTGCTTTAAGGGACAAACAAGTGCATTTAACAATGGAAAACATGATGCCCCTATGGTAGGAGGGGCATTAAAATAAATAAATCCCAATTTCTAATATAATGATTTGAATCAGACTGATCTGCATGGGTATAGGTATGCATTGGGCACACATTCAACATTTTGATTTAAAACTTAAAACATGAGATTATATATATATAGCTTGTCTAAAAAATGCTGTTAATTTTTATTTACCTAAAATGGACTGCAACTGAGGAACAAGCAATATCTTCAGAATGAAATTAAAACAACCTACAGTAAAAACTTTCATTCAAAGTCAATAAACAGAAATGTAGGGTAAAATATCAGTGAGAATGCATGCATCCCAATAACACAAAAACTCAAGACCAATAAAATATTTTTTTGATATGTTAATACAAAAGGACTTTAGTTACATTGAATGGAGAAAGAAAATATGATAGACAAACACGTTTCTTTTTCTTTACAAATTGGAAAATTAAAAGTCATCATTCCTGTAGTTTACAAATGCTTGACCCTTTCATAAATAAAATTATGGAAATTGATTTAGCCGATATTTTTTTTTTAATATCTATATTTTTCCTAATATGTAATGTAATCTCTAAATCCAGACTACCATATTCAGCAACACTTTTCATAAAATAGTTTATGACTTAAATTGATTGTATGTTTTTTGGTGAAAAAAAGTTGCAGTTCATTAATCCACGGTTTTATTCGTACAGTACATGTCTATTATCTTTAAATTCATCATTTAATTGATCATAGATAATTTAGACATGTATTTACCAGATAAATTAAAACCTTGCCCCTTTTATCTGATTCCATGGTACATTTAAGATTATGTGGCATGTCTTTTCCTAATTAACTATACAAGTTCAAATTAAATTCTACAAATACTTGTCAATAACAAGATTAAATATAGGAATGATAACAAATCAAACGCACCTGTAATATCTCTGCCAAAAAAGTGTTTATGACCGAATTATCAATATGAAATATTTAATATTAATAATTTAAAGTTCATGCTCTTTGTATGAAAATATTTGATCTAGTAAATTGATAATAAAAAGTAGTATAGATTATATGCCTCACCCATTTTCTTCAACAGATTTTATACTTTATAAGCCTACGTATTTATGTACATGAAAGCTATACTCAAGACCAATAACTGATGGTCAAATAGTTTAAAATAAGCATGAAAAAGCTGACAGCTAGTAAATTTGAAACGAAATTAAAGCTTTAAAGCTTGCAATGGCATTCCATTTTCATGACAATTTTAGTCATCTGACTTTAGGGGACATTAAGATAAGAATTGTATCTCTATATACTGACTGCTGATTGAATATGACCAATATTATGTATTGACCTCACAGTGTCTGCTGTTTTGATGAACATTCTAAAGCATATAAAGATTGTACAATATTTGTCAATTGTCAACTGTGCAACCAATCAAAATGCATGAATCTGGTGGTTCCCCTGGTAGGTTAAGTAAATTCTCAGTCTACTTACTATTGCTGGAGTGTTTAACATCCACTACTATATTCAGAAATTAATGTGTGGCTTTAAATTACTTTTGCATAAATCCTTGACCACTGGCAAAAATACAAAATCTAATTAATGAGATTGCAAAATTTTAATGATGGAAAATCACTTAACTACAATTATGAATGCTAGTTTTAATTATTGTGAACCTGATAGTCGCATTTTTCATGTTAATAAAAACATCCCAATAATCTGATAAAATTTCTATAGAATATGGTTTTGTCTTATAGAGCTATTTTCTAATTTACCATATGTTAAAATGGCCTTGTTGGTCTAAAGTTTAGGTTGGCCCGACTTCGATGCAAAAACAATTTTCTAGCGAATATAAATGAGCAAATAACAGACACAGTGGATGTCTGTTAAGTGCATTTTCCTGTTAATTGCATAAGAATTTGAACCACAGCCATTTCCTATATTTTCAATGACAAGAATTTACCTTATTTGTAAAGGTTAAAACCGCATTTTCTACTAATTGCAAAAAACAAGTAACCACAAAAATGATAGAAAGCCTACTATTCTTCCAAAAGTTGCATTTAAGAACTTTTTGACAATACTTTTACTGAATAGTCTTTTCAGTGCAGTATAATTATATACCATTTGTAAACATGTTTATTTTAATCATGTAGGATAAGTAGTTCAGTCAGAATCCAGGTAGTTATATAATAGTTCTCAGTCTAATACAGTACCATTGGGTTCAGAGAAAGAGAAAACTGCAAAGAACAGAAATAAAATGAAATAAAGTGTACAAAGTGACATGAAGGTTGATATATGACTTAATTATCAAAATAAACCTAACCTTCTATTTTGTTTTTCATTTATTGACCAAACACAATTTGTTTTAATATGTGATTCATTAACTGCTGGCCATCAAGACACAATCTTCTTTTTATATATGTACTGGTTAAATGTTCTTTTGCCTGAATAGATGTGAAAATAAAGATGAAAGTAAACACACAAATTAACTGGTATTTGAGTTGCAAATTAAACATCAAACAATCTTCATTGATTTTAATATTTGCAATATGTGTTCAAGCCTATGGATCAGTAATATTGGAACAATCTCAGGAATATTTAAAGATTTCTAAATTCACCTCAAATAAAAGAATAATTTACAATACAATTTCATCTGATGTTTTATCAACTGAACTGAGTTTAATAATTGACCATAAAATCTATCTGAATAAACCAATTTGCTTGCTGCTTAAGTCAGCAGCAAATATTACATGCATCATAACAGGACGACAACATTCAAAAGTAATATGAAGATATCCTGCTTTTTACTAGACAGACACGCCGAGGTAGACTTTAAACCAGCATTTGTTCAAACTCAGATGCCATGTATTGTGCATTGGCACATTATAAAGCTGCAAATATCTGAGTTTTAAGTCTTTGATATATGGGATAGAATGTGCTACAAATCCCACCCTTAGACGAGAATGCTTCCATAAGACCACGGTGACCAACTATGAGGAATTTATCCAAATAAGAGCTTTAAAAATGTCTAATAATCAGGTATATGATATTTAATTGTTTGTATATATAGTTTTATTCTATAAGTATATCAATCTAGTTGTGAAGGTTGACAACTTCGAGTTCTTACTTCAAAAGGATGATTTATTTTGAAAATTTCTACGTTAAGTAAAAGATTAGAGTCATTAGACCCCATTTATAATAACCAAATAAAGGTCAAAATGGTCTTACATCCACATCATTTTGAACTCTGGTGGATAACTTTCTCATTGGCAATCATACCACATCACTTTATCTTTATATTTTGGATCAGTTCCAAACAGTCTTACTAGTACAAAAGTTATCCATCATTTTAAGTCCCCTAAACAGAGGTGTGTTCTTAAAATGATCCATCAAAATTAAGATGATTTATGTAATTTGAATGATTGATTCAATCGCGATACCTTAATTATGCATTTGATGCTTTTTGTTTTAGTAACCATAAACCTACTGAAATCAATGGAAATTGTTCTTAATGAGAACCAGAGGTGATTGCTGTCGATTTACAGATTAAGGCATTAAAGGAGAATAGAGGAATCAATTAATATCGATCATAATATGTTCATTTTAATGTGAACAACAAGCATTGGTTTAAAATGTAAAATCTTCCTTTATGAAAAGTTTTCACCTAAACTAGTAGCTCATAAGAGTCATTGCTTAATACTATCTCTGAAATCAGTTAAAACATTTCTTTTCAATTTTACAGAAATCAAAATTATTCCAGATTCAAATAATTCCTTGTTTTTAAGTGAACATACTATGAGGCAAAATCTAAGCTGATTTATCCAATATAAAAGGTCTAACCAGCTAACCAGACAAACAGTAATAAATGCAAGTCAATTTCATGTAACCATTACACATACAGA